CTAAGACAGCTTTGAAATTAAAAAAAAAAAAATCTACAAAATTTGCAGTATAGTACGCTGGGACGAAGCCCGAGGGCACAAACACAATTTTTACAGCAATTTTCCTAAGACAACTTTGAAACTAAAATTTAAAAAAATGTCAACTAAAAAATTAACACTTTAGTACGCGAGAATGAAGTCCGAGTGCGAAAACAAAAATTTTATATACCAACTTCCCAACTTTGATTTTGAAATGAAAGAAAAAAATAACAAAAATCTATAAAATTAACGAAACTTTTATACCAAATATGATATTGGATTTAAAAAAATTGAGGACGAAGCCCGAGGGCGCAAACAAAAATTTTATACCAACTCTCCTAAGACAACTCTTTTACTGAATATCAAAAAAATGTCAAAAACCTACAAAATTAACACTTTAGTACGCGAGGACGAAGGACGAGTACGCAAACAAAACTTTTAACTTCTCAACTTTGATATTAAAATGTAAAAAAAAAAATACAAAAAGCTATAAAATTAACTGTATAGTGCGCGTGGATGAAGACCGAGTGCACAAACAACACTTTTATATTAATTTTTCTACTACCAACTTTGATATTGAAATTAAAAAAAAATTAACTTATTTATTTGTTAATTAATTTTGTGATTTATTCGTAAAAGACGTTAAAATATGAATTTTAAAAGATTAAAAAAAACTCTTGGGCAAAAATTACAATAGAATTGGCAACAGCACATCAAAAATTTGTTGTTTCTATGGCTACATAGCAATAAAAAACGGGTTTCTAGGGTTTCAAATGTTTCAAGATGTTGCCACTTTATGCAATTTTTTTAAACATTAAAATTTTGACAAAATTATATGAACAGTACTCTTTTGAATCACCATGTATACGATTTTAATCAAGAGAAATAATTTATAATACAAAAAATAAAAAACGTTAAAACTTTTTCAAAATTAAAAAAAAAACACAAAGGAAAATTTTTACACGTATCCAATAAATTAATGATGATTTTTTTGTTTTTAATCTTACAACACAATATACAAATTGCACGTGTTTACATAAGTGTGTAAATGACTTGTTGTAAGTTTTTGTCGTTATCTAATTCTTAGTAAATATTTTTCAATTGTTATGTAGTTATCTACACTCTTTATGAGCATAATTTGTGGTAAAAATACACAAACTTAGTGCAAACATAATAAATTTATAATTGACTTGAAATATTAAAGCTTATTTTTACTTAAAAATTCAATTTTTTCATTAAATAAGAAAAGTTCTGAAGTTATTGACGTACATCTATTTTACGTGTCGCAAAATGACAAAAATTTTGAAAAAATCGTCTGGGGAATCCCACTGCTCAAACCGTTTTGACTTGGAACACATAGTTTTCAAGTTACATATTAACTTTTTAAATGCAAAAACACAAAAATAAAAATCTTCATATTATTAAGAATTTCATATTGTTTTCATTACTACAATAAAATTTCAAAATTTTCACTACATTAGAATAAGAGTATGATTCTAAAAATTAAATTTTAAAAAATTTCTGGCTTAAAAATGTTTTTTTTTTTCGTTACAAAAATATATCATGAATTTTAGGTTTTCAATTTTTCTTGTGATGTTATTCATCATTTCCGTAAACATTACAGTTTTTCACATTTAAACAAACTTTTTCTTTTCTTATTATTTTTTCGTTTTATTTAAAATGTACATATTACCAACTATTTTAATAATTTTATTGTTTTTTTTTTAATCGAAATTTCAACTTGAATGTAACAGTTTTTAAATTTTTTCTTCCTAATTTCTCAAACACTACTGTTTTTTTAAATTAACTATTTTTTAATTAGTATTTTACTGGAAACATTCTTACAATTTGTTGTTTTTTTTTTAATTTGAAATACCGCCGATCGAGAGGACCAATCATGAACGAGGGTGTGGTCATGTGACCGTAACTAACCAATCATGTTGACCGAAATTTCTTTTCTTACGGATAAAAGAGCATTGAAAAACACATTTTGTAGACAAAGTATGTAAAAAATAATTGAAAACAAACGTTATTTTAAGTTTTTTGTTTTTTTTTTATTAGTCAAAAATTACAATTTTTTGCTTATAAACTA